GGTGATTCCAGCAGAGGCTGATCAAACAACTCCGACGACGCTGGCGGTGGTGTTGGTGAACTTGCCGCGACGTTGGCTGTATCAGATGAACCATCGACAGTGAGCAGGCCTATACGAGACTTTTTGGTCAACGTTGAGCTCCCGGACCCTGACACATCGAATTCCGGTCCCAGTAGAGGGATATGACGATAGAAATCTGTTGCCGAAGCCTGGTCGGTGGAGTTCGCCCATCCGTCCCCGGAGAAGAAGTTGTTTTTCACATCCGTCATTACAACCATTGGACTTTTTACCGTCTCCTTATACGATGAACATGAATACCCAGAACCAACAGTTGATGAAGTCGGCAGACCCAGATATGATGGAGCCCGACAACCACCACCACCGCCACTACCACTAGCAGCACCACCCACTGGATGAGTTGTATTGAGCCATGCATCCAGTATGGTCTGACCGTTGTCACGCATCGAGCCCGGGTATAATCCGTCTGACTGTGAATTCAAACTAGTGGATGAAGTGCAAGAGGACGATGAGGATGACATGGATGAATTAGAGGCAGATGTGGAAAAAGCTGTACGGGCCGGTCGACGCACCCCGGTAGTCACTGAGCCATCAGCTCGTGAGAAAGCACCACATACCGTACAGAATGGGGCGGACATTGTGGTGGAACCGGTGCACGGCAGATGCTGTGGCGTCGTTACAGAGACTTGTAATATGTGCCCCCTGTCCATCTGGATCGGGCTGAATACAGTAGTCGTGGCAGCTGTGGATGTAGTAGTAGTAGTAGTAATAGTCGTAGGGGCAGTTTTGTTTGCGGTTCTGTTGATGTTTCTGTCGGTTGTCCCAGGATGATACAGCCGTGTGGAATCGGACTCGACGGGCTGATCCGCCGCGGTAAATGATGGGCGTTGGCACGTAGTTGATGTCGCGGATGATGTGTTGAGGGTTTGTTTAAGGATAGCCGGGTTGACCGGTGCGTATGAATCGCTGTCGGAGTCGTAAAATGTGAACAGGCTAGCCAGCTCGGAACGATCCATGGGGAAAGAAAGACCAAGGTGTGGAGAGGCTTCTCGAATGGTACAAATCCTAAACCAATGAAAGAAGGGAAATGGGTTTATGATAAACAAACTAATGAGCAAAAACAATCTGACTTGATTGAAATCGTCAACTCATGGTATATGTTTGTATCTACCAGCATTGACATTATGTGTGAGAGTAATTGTCAGTATGCGACTAGCATGTAATTCTTCCGGAAAAGTATGCGTTTATATATGCATATATATATAGCATGAAAGATCAACTTTTTCCACTGGTAGTGGCACGATAAACAGTACCATTTGCTTATCACGCAACAGCGTATCCATAGCCTTGTACTGGTCGATCCCCATGAATTTTCCGAATAGCAAGTGATTTGTTAGAACTAAACTGACACTTGCACACAGACACACACACGTCAAGCATAAACCCTATGATCACCAGTTTTCGAGGTTTGGTCGTTAGCGAATGCAAAAAGCCTGATAGAGAAATGTGGGAGATGAATAACAAGCAAAAGAATTGTGAGGAACTTGGAAGGTATTCGAGTAAGTCAAATTAATTCAACATAAGGTTTATGCATTCAAAAACGGTGAATTTTCAGTCGTGGAGGGAATCGGGAAAAAACCACACTGTTCGTACAGCAGTCGGAAAAAAGCGTGGAATAAATGAATAATAATCTAGCACATTAGTTCATCTTTGAACCACACACCTGGTTGTGTGCATCTAAACGGATAGCAAGAAAAATAAGGAATTATACCGTATCTGTAAGTAGTGTGGTACGAGTAGTCAGAAGTTCAACTTTTGAGCACATACGATTCTCCGACAGATTTTGTCAGCTCTTCATGCAAGTGATTGTCTTCATCACCCAATATTCTAATCCACCTATCAAATAGATATAACTAAGAAGCGACCTGACGTCCACTGTCCACATTTTCCCTTAAAAATAGGAGTTCCACAAAACGCCTCCGTGACCAGAAATACTGGTGCGAACTACGGATGAGAAAGCATATTTTACAAACGATTCCGTATATCTGTCCCANTGAGCTGCTCTCTCGTAGACCGGTGGCATGATTCATGGAGTAATGCGGTAGTACAAATATGACACTCATGCCAAATAAAAGGAACCGTCTGGCACCATTGGATTTTCAGTGTCCCTAATATTGATTTATCAGGCAGACTGCTGACACAAACCAGCACACGTTTAACACAACGCAACAATGCCGATCAGAAGTAGGATACAGGAACCCATTAGCATCAAAAGATCATACAAAGTATAATCATAACTTTTTGGTTTTTTGTTTGAAAACCGAGATTCTACACACATCGATGACACGCATTTGACGATTGCAACAGCAACACAGAATAAAAGCAATCTCTCATTCGTGAACTAACCGATGCGTCAATTTATATCGTCCCGGATTCGGGTGTTGATCTTTGAGCCAATAGACAAGTGGAGAAGTGGCACAGTAGCGTCTGATTTCATCACAGGTCCGTTCGATTGGCACACAAGTCGTTTGGGTTGCAGATGAGCTATGATAACACGAAAGGTAAAAAGAATGAATGCACGAAGCCCGGCAGACAGAAGTTTTGAACGAAGGAAAAAATAATAGGAAACCCATAAACGACTAATGATAGATACACTTTTCATAAAAACGTGCAAGATCTATTCGACCGGTGCATGCGTTATTTGCATGCAAAGCAACAGACTGAACGATCTCCCATAGTTTTACTCCTTTAGCTGTCTTTTCGATCAGTGAACACCGGGTCATGAATATCTAGCCTGCCTAGAATACCTGCAATACCCTGATTTTACGCCTTTCAAGAAGGGGTGTACAAAACGGCTCGATTTGGCGAAAGAGTGTGGAGGACATTCTGAATGTGTGCGTATCAGCCAAGGGCTGACCATGGATTCAAGTTGTGAACTCTTTGGAAAATCTAATTATTAACTTGGATAATAAATGAACACCCACTAAAGCTCTACGAACTGTCCTCTAACCCGTATTGTTGTTGTTTTGCATCGTGATGTGTGGCACACAACAGGAACCGAGAACAGTGTTGAACGCATTCACATGTTTTGTTCTGTGGAGGTTTTATATTCGATTTAGTGTGATATATATATATATATCTATATAGCGATAAAGGTCAACTTATCGACTCGGAAGATGTGTTCGAATACCACCACCATTTGACTTCCCACAGTTTGTGTTGTATGACAGCCCTCTAACTAGCCGTTTCCCAATTACTGAGAATTTGAAGGTTCTGTATTCATCAAAAGATGGAAAAAGATAAAGCGCATATTCGCTAGCCTCATACGGGCAGGATGGCAACGCTGTCCATAACAGGGAAAAGGAGATAGAAAAGTGAACGATGATCTTGTTACTCTAACCACTTTACTGTGGTAAAATGCTTTTAGTGGTTTTTACGTTTGCAAGTCGTGAATTCACCGCCGATACCCAAACCGAATGCTTCAAACCTGTGTCCGTACATAATTGTTGCCAGTGCGATTGCCAATCTTACCGGTTCTGATTCATTCCCATATGGCTATGCAACGAATAGCGATTTCGGCATTACCAACTGACGTTGTTAGTAGTGTATGTGCGTCTAATTCCAAATTATGGCTATTTAAAGCTCAATGATAAACATAAACTGATTTTGGCATTTCCTTTATCAGACGATTAGGACCAACAGAGCGAAGGTTTTTCTACTCACCGATTCAGTTACCATTTTAATATAACGGTAAGCAGACCTTCTTTTAAACCTTTCCTCGTAGTAAATCGGTCTAACACATCGAGACTGCCTACTCTACTCGTTCTTAAGTGAACAGAGCGTTCAGCTCTTTTGCTATGCATTATATATGATGGGTAAATAGTGATAAAGTCAGAAACACAAATGTTCAGCTTTGTGGTCATTTGGTACAGCAAAGTTGAGAGGCTTTGTGTCAAACATCTGGCTCGGAGCTGTGATTGACTGGGTATCAATGACCTACGAGATGAACAACTTCAAGTTGGCGAATGGCGAGAAGGGCAATGTGTGTGTGCTGAGTAGGTACGAGAGACACCAACCAATCACTGTCCGGTACGAATAAGCAACATCATCCCTGGAATGCGCACGTACATAACCTAGTGCATCGCGACCCAATCACCCACGGTTTCCTTCCGTATTTCTCGTAGAGCGCACCGTCTCATCAGGAATTCTTAGCACAAACGGACGCAACAATAGCTTATCTGGACCGGAAGGTGTGTATCACAGACACATATAATCCATCTGGGTGACCGATGTGTTACTCACGATCAGAAGCATTCCGGTTGGGGTTGCGAAGTGCAGACACACACACACAACAGATTTGAATGGCGAAAGAGGTATGCGCAAGCACCACTCGGTCTCTCTCTTCAGACTCATGTTATTCTGCTCGTTTGTCAATGCAAACAAACGAAATTATGAACATCGCGCTTTGGACGGAAGATTTAGAAAACTATTGAAGGCTTCATTTTTAATGACAGCTTGTAGTTACACGACCCTGGAGACAAATTCATTCTCAATTGGAAACATCATGAGTTAAAAAAGTCCTGACACCACCCAAATTTGCTTCAACAGTATGATTCTCTTAGCAAAGTACAGTTCTCGTAGCTCGGGTGTACTGAATTCCATTTCTCCTGTTCGCTGGGCTTGGCAATTTACTCGCAAGCGTCTCATCATCAGCCAAGGTGGCATCGTCAGTGATTGTGAAGTGGTGAAATGGAAGCATGATTGATACACGGAGACAAACAAGCAAAGCAAAACCGCTGTCTTTGAGAACAGAACACCACAGACACGGACAATACTCAGTTCAAAAAAACTAAATCAGTACAGCGCAGGACTATTGGCGATTGTACGCCCATTAGCTTTCCTGTCTCAGAAGACATACTGGAAAATCAGTAACAGTGATATGATTTTCGATACCATGACAAAGCATCCGGAGTGCGAACACAGCAGCAACAGCAGCAGCAACCATGGAAAAGGACCCAAATTGATTGAATAGCCATAAGATAAAAGGAATCGACTCTTAGTTGTAGTGCGTTCATATGCCAATTTCCTAACTCTATGAGCTCTCTTCCAAGTACCCATAAGGTTAACCAATGAAGAGAAAACTAAACGGAAAACAGCGAGCACTGTTGTGCGACCAGGTGTTCGGCCCCCATTCTACACTCATATTATATCAGTAATTATCATGTCCCTTACCGTTAATTACAAGTGAGGATAAGTTGACATCATGTAAGAACCCGTAACTGTCTCCGCATTACATAACAGCATCGAACGAAAGTAGACATAAATGACAGAAATAGCATTTTTGAGCTGGTACATTGTTGGCCCTTGAGATATGTTCCAGCTCAATATTCTTCATCAGCCAACTTGTAGCCTCAAAAAGCTGAGGCTTCCCTCAGTAACCATACGGCAAGTCGCTTGACAGGTAGGCTGGATCAGGTTGAGGATGATCGGGGCCAAAAACCCTCAAGCTGTAAATTCAGCAGGAACGCATCAATCCACACCAAAAGAATGGTGAGCAGAACTATATGCTACCAAGCGCGTACCCAGGTCGCAGATAGAGGTGATTGTACAAGACTGGTAGAAGCCTTTGACTGTACTTACCGTTTTTTCGGTGACCAGATAGAAGTGTTCGAGTGGTTTAAGTACCGCAGGAGCTTAATCACAACTGGGGGTGGTGTTAGAAAAGAGATAGCAAAAGAGAGATCGCGAGCTTTCGCCAACCTGCAGCACCTGTGGCAGCGCCACAACATCCGACTATCCTTTAAGGGAACAGCGTACACCGCCGCGGTTCGTAGTGCTCTGTTTCGCGACCTAACCTCTGAACTGAGGATGCTAATCGACTTCCTGTGTTTGACCACCGATGCCTTCGAAGCATTGCTTGTGTCTGGTGAGAACATCATGAAAAGTAACAAAATTCGCCGTCATGTGCTGGTTATTTTATTTTATTTTCACACACGTCTGAGTTCAAGCTAAGACA